GGGGGGGGGGGGGTGAACGTGTGTGTGCACTCACTTCAGTGTTATCTCTGCAGTGAAAGAATATAAAATTAGGGCCGAGCCCGTGGCGCACTCAGGAGAGTGCAGCGCTGGGAGTGCAGCAGCGCTCCCGCCGCGGGTTCGGATCCTATATAGGGATGACTGGTTCGCTCATAGCGCTCAGTGACTGTGGTGCGGCCGGTCTCAAAGAGGCCAAAAAAAAAAAAGAATATAAAATTAGAACTTCGCTAAAATTTAGTTTTTTTGAAGTTCTGATGGGGGAGACTAGACTGAAATTTGTTTTTACATAAAAATTTCTTTATAGTATAAATTTGTATTAACCAAATGTCTTAGAAACTTCAACTAGGCATTTCTTGATAAGACCAGCTTGATTTACTGAAAATACTTGAAACTAATTTAGCATTTCTTAAATCTTTATTGATTTAGAGTTTTTGGTTATTTAGCATCCAGTTCCCAACTCTTACTCTTTACTGTAATAAAAATTTTTCCTGGGAGAATCTGAACCCAAGGGGACCATATCTCCCTTATCCGCCCTGTGTCCATAGCATCTAGCACAGTAGATTTTAAATGAATGGACAAGGTTCTCCAGCCATGTTTAGGTATTGAGTGGTTAATGCTCTAAGTTGGCTCAAGTTCTCAAATGTATTTTATTAAAGCATTGTTAAAAAATTAAGACTTAGTTTTCGAGTTTATCCCAGGGTGTGTGTTTGTAAGTACTGTTAATCATCGGCTTGGACGTTTTCTGAACTATATGGTATGCTCTTAAGCTTCTCTATAAGGAATTTGTTCTTGTTCATCTTTCTAATTTATATGTGCAGATTTCATATTCTCATTTGTATATTATCAAACCTTTCTGCTCAAGAATTAAGAATGTCTAGGGCATTCACTCTTGCTATAGAGATGAGTAACTTTTGGGAAGCAGGAAAGCTGGGATTCTTTTTGTGATATTCTCTTAGATTTTAAAAGATTTTCTAAATGTTTCTTATTGAGGCTTTGCAATAACAAAGGGCAGTGGGTTGAGTAGGTAAGGGTAAACTACATTATAAATTTGAACCAAAAAATAAGATTTTTATAATAATTTTGTATTTCATTAAGTACCAATATTCACATATTTTTCAAATATTCATGTTGGATTGTTAAGTAAATTTTTAGGGCTCAAAATATTTGTTTTTAATTTTACTTAAATGAGTTTAATGCAATTATTTTAGCACAAAATGTTTGCTTGGATTGCTAAGATTAATAAGTTGCTTTCTTTTCATATATTTTATTTAGGTGTTCAGTGGATTAACTCTTTATTGATTACATACAACAGCAATAGTTATGGCGACTTTCCAGTCTTTCAGAAACAGTCACATGAAGACTAGAGCATCTGTCAGAAAAGTAAGTTCATTATGAGTATTATATTGCTTTTAGTGAACTTTTAATAAAAATATTGATCAGTTTTTTTTTTTTTTTCCTTTTTGTCTTTTCGTGACCGGCAACGGATCACAACCCTCAGTGTTGCACCCGTACCGGACCGGGACCGGCAACGGGATCGCAACCCTCGGTGTTGCGCCCGCACCTTGCTCAGCCAGTGAGCGGCCGGTCTGTATGTAGGATCCGAACCCTCAGCGGGAGTGCAGCCACGCTCCCAAGCGGCGCAGTGTAGCAGTGCGCCACCGGGCCGGCCCTTCATCAGTTTTTTTGAAGTCCTATAGCTATTACATTTTGTTTTTAAATAAATCTTATTTTTTA